AGATGGTTGGGGGGAGGAGGAGTGGAGTTAGAGAGCCAGAAAGCAAACCATTACGGACATTACGGTAAAGATGTGTTATCTGGTAAAAAAGTACAGTACATTAAAGTATTACAAAATCACCTCCCGGGCTACAATCGACGTAAGTTTCGTCCAGTGTCCTCGTAGGCGTTGGTACTTCCTTGTACGGCGTCAGTTGGCGTCAGTTAGTCAGCTTGGCTTGTTGCTTGGCAATCCTGGTAAACAGTTACATTTCTTCATGAATGACAGGGCAAAGACAAATATTTCAATTTTAATAAGTGAAAAAAACAAAACAAAACAAAACAAAAAACAGGTAAATTACATTGATTTCGTGTTTATAAAATAACTGAGCTACTACACGCGTTCTCATCGGTCGATAGGTGTTTTTAGATGAGAATATGTAAACACTGTTGTGACGTTTTAAGATTCGTGCGTATTATCTAGAGTTATTTTATAAAAGCATAGGACACTTTTCTATTTTTACAAAGCCTGATCTAAACACTCGGGGGGCTTGCAGAATTCTCGAAAGTTATGCAAACCCGAGACGTAGTCGAGGGTTTGCATAACTGTCTCGAATTCTCCCAACCCTCCTCGTGTTTAGACGAGTATGTATACACGAAAAAAAATTGCTCAATTTTTTAAATATAAGACATTTCACTATGCTTACATAGTACCTCTTGCAACTTTCAGCGATCGGAGGTTTATCTTCAGAAAAACTTTGGAGCCACTTCGCCCCTTCTAGTTTTTCCTTGTGACTTTTTCGGCATGTTGTACAGATTGCAAACCAAACACAAAAAATGAGATGAATAACAACTAGGACTATATTTTGCCAGTCAAATTTCTACAGTGGTACACTTTCAAGTCTTAATAATTATTTATTTAAAAAGTAGTATACTTTATACTTACGGGACCCTATTTGTGCCTTTTCGCCAAACAAAGTGTAAATCTTCTTCGAGGTCTTCAAGTTGATTACAATTCCTTCTTCAATTTTTTTAAACTTCCCGGCGTGTTCTGGGTATTGAC